AAGTAAATAAACATTAAATACATTATTTTACTCAAGCAGCCAGCACACACAAAATAAAGCAAATTGCAGTTCACTGCGCGCAATCAACCAGACTGTATAGCATTCACAGTAGTTACTGACCTTCCAAATAACACTTAGGGAAAATCATCCAGTGGCATCTGTCACAGATGATTCTGGTCCACACTGTGACTGCCAAGCAGACTCCATCCTGGGCAGGAGGAGCTGCCCCTACTCTGTCCACTTGTCCACAAAATCCCTTCAATCTCATCTGCACCCAGACTCCAAGCCATCGCCTGCTGCCCTGGAAGCATCGACCTCCACTCCTGTTGCAGAAGTTTGTAGCAGATCGCCTCAGCCCAGAGCTTTGGGTCCAACCACTGCAATATCCCTGGATGATCCCCCAAAACACTATCAAAGTGTCTGGCTTTGCACCAACGCTCCTCACAAACACTCCAACACATGTTTTTCTTTACTGTCAAAGAGTTCAGAACAGGCATCAGCATTCCTTCTGTGTCCTGTGTTTCAGCTCTGAAGCTGGTGTGTAGAAAACAGAGGGAAGAAAAGTTCACTATTCTCTAAGCTGCTAATTAGTAACAGACTGGCCAAGCTGGAGCCTGAAAATTCAGGGCTGGTTTTGCAGCCACTTGGATTGCTTATCCGCTGTAACAGAAATGGCACTAAAAACAATTAAATTTCCTAAGCCAAATGTTTGTGCAGAATTACTGCCCTTGATTATTTTTTTCCATACACACAGGAAACCTGTAATCTTCTTGAAACCATGGCCAGCTGTTTGGGGCAGCATTATTGCTGCTTTACCTCCCAGCAGCTCCAGCGGTCAGCATTTGCTTTAGAGGTGCACTCTCCATCACATATCAAGGCACAACTGCAGGTCAGGGATGAAAAAGACATCCTTTGTTTGCAGGCTCCTGAGCCTTGTTGTTTTCTTTCGGGTTGACTCACAGCAAATGTTCCGAAGTGACTCAGAAAGAGCCAATATTTAATTATGGAGACATTCTGTGCAAGCATCTGAGGTTCAGCAACTTAAGATGGTGCAGCTGATAACAATAACTTTGCCCTTAAAGCCACCCTCATTCAAGAATCTCAGGGTAGTTTCAGCATTACTCTGCTAAGCTGGCTGAAGGGGCATCAGAAAAAAGTATCAGGAACAGAACCCTCTGCCCAGCTTGGGAGAAGTTTGGATGTGATCCAGGGCTACTTTGCTTCAGATTGTTTATAATTAAAAATTCCTAGTACCTCCTGAAGGCAAGATTTGTGTGCAACAGAGCAGCACTGGTAGCGAGCTACATAATACCTTCTTTGGCAGCGTTAGGAGTGCTGTTGTTTTCAAAGTATGAAATGAGACATCCTGTTCCCAACACGATTTTTACTTTTGATCTTTCATAGGGCTAAACTCTGGGAAACTCCAGGAAAGCACAGACAATAAGACTGCCATTCACTTCAGAGAGATCAGAATTAGGACTAAAGACAGGAATAGCCTTTTTCAGCTCAAGATTTTTTTGAGAAATTCAGGGTGTTGCCCTAAATTTCAGCTTAGTCTCTGCTCAGCATCGTTCTAGCTCCTGGATGCCACATAAGCTACATCTGTGCTTCCAACAAAGCCTTCATCTCAGCTGAACTAAAGGAAAGTGACTTAGAACAGGGAGTACATTGACTGTGGTCCTCCAGCAGATTGCTGCTCTTCCATTAACCATCTCCTGGTGCCAGCACAGAGAAGTACTGAAGCAGCACAGTCTGTATTTTATTCTAATTTTGTTTTATTATGTATTTATTTTCCTAGGACTGCCTCTTGTGCTGTTGTCAGTATAATCACAGCTGTTCTCATTCTGAAACACTCAACAAAGACCAGGGTGCTTGTCACATGGAGATGGTAACTAAGGTACTGTTGCGTTAAGATCAGTAGCTCCTCTAGCGTTTGGGCTGCAGGAGAGGCTGTGTCACAGTTCATCATAGGGCTGCTCTTTGTAAAGCTAACTCCTCTCTTTCAGCAGCCTGAGGAGCTCTGGAGGTGGGCAGGTGCTGCGCGTGGTCGGCAGCTCCGTACTGCTCTGCTCTCTGGGAGGTGAGTGGCTGCTGCTGGTTCTGCTCTGCTTCTTGCTTTGGGTTTTCCTGTCCTCTGGGGGAGAAGAATCTCAAACTTTTAGGTTGTCTTTGACTCCTGAGAACTGTTTTTTTTTTTCCTCGTGGGCTTCAGGACAGTTGCCATGGCTGTGTGATCTATGGAACAAGGAGAAAAAAGAACTTGTTTGTTTAAATATTGAATCCTTCCAATCTGAGGGGCAGTTCCATAGTCCAAATGACCCACGACAATGCAGAGCAGAAGAGAGAAAATGTAGGAAGCTGTCATCTGCACTGGAAACCTTCCATCCAGGAGCTTTCACAGAGATCTTGTGTCTCTACAAATTCTGAGAGCTGGGGAAGATGTAATGCAATATCAGACTTAATTTCTTTCTCCTATCCTGCAGTTCCTTACTTTCAAGCAGCTCTTCCAAGCTGAGAGCATTCTAAATTTCTAGACACAATTGTAGCTCTTATACAAAATTACTTATCATGGTGATTGCCGCCCAGTAGCATCATTCCCATGTGAAATTCACAGGTTTTAAAGAAATGAATTACACTATAATAACTTCATTCTTTTTCTGAAGGCACACGAGTTCTTGTCAAGCCGCATTGTAAAGTGAAACCTTCAGGACAGTTTGACTCAGTTATTTTTTCTTCCTTAATACATGCCTCCCCACATCAATGGGCCTTGTTGTCACGGATTCAATCCTTAGTTTTTCAAGCAGCCCAGCAAAAAGGAAAAGAGAAGAATGACTTCATCTAATTTTTAAGAGCATTTTTGTCTTTATCATGTTAGGTGCTTCCAGTACAGTGTGCAGTTCAGGGCTCAGAATGGCTCTTGAGCAGTCTCCCTACTGATTCACAGCAAATTTCATGTTTAGAAGTTCTTCTAGTCTCTTACATTGGTTGGAGGAGGTATGGGACTTTTTGCACTCCCATTTGTAAGTCATGCTGGAGGGATGTAGGGAAGCACAATGCTTACCTATTATTCCTTCGCTCACTCACAAGCCACTGATATTGAATACTGGCATGCTGGGCAGAAAAACAAAACCAAAATGTTTCTGCTCTGCTGATCACCAGTAATTTACAGTACCTCTAAGAATGTCCAAGTAAATGTTACTAGGAATTTACACTTCCTGAGAGGTTTTGAGGAGCAAAGTGACTTTCTGGGGAAGGCTTGAATTGAGGGAGGTGGAGGACAGCAAATCCAAACTGTAGATGTAGTGGTTGATGGGTCCTCGCTGCTCAACCCAACAAGGTCTGGAGGATGGCTGCCTGTCGTCGGTCCCAAGGCACGTACAAGAGGTGTAATTTGTTTTTGTGATGGTGTTAGGTAGTATGATGTTGTTGGCAATGCATCAGCTGGGTAGCCAGGAGAAAATCTGTGTAACTCCTTAGAAAAAGGGCAGTTTCCCAAGTGGGCTTCAAGAGACTGCTTTCATGGATGTGCAGCTGGCACAGCTGAGAGTTGGACCTAATGTAAGCTGTCTGGCTTCCTCCTCCCCACAAAACAAAGGAGAAAAAGGCAGCAGCATCCCTGAAAGCAACAACAGGAAGTTTGGATGTTGGACAGAGAAGGCAGCAGCTGTGTAATTTTGCATAACAAAGCAATTCTAGGAGGTTTTTGCTCATTCTTGTATCGTAGCACATCTTTTTGTGCTGCTGCTGTAGCTACAATTTGGCTGTACTTCGAAATGGATCAGCAGGAGATGGGGGTCATTAAAAAATCCTTAATGAGGCACAGCAGCGGCATTCATCCAGACCCCTCTGTAAGGAGATGTACAGGTCCAGCTTGAGTGGTCGAGCCTCTTGCAACCACCTCCAAGTGCCAGCAGCCAGGTGCGCACACAGCTCTGCAGGGACAAGCGTGAGGTGCAGGCATGCTGCTGGGCTGCTTCCAGCCAACAGACCCTTGCTGGTGCCTGGTTTCAGAGCACCAAAGTGAACTATGCTGTTTGCCAGTCGAGCCATTTGGAGCACAGACAGCTATTTTGGAGTAGGTCTCAGCCTGCTGATGATGCCATTATCAACATTTTACACTTCCTGCCTTATGCAGTGTGTGTGGTGCCTCTATCCCTGCTTTTGGAGATACGAGGATTGTAGATCATTCAGGAACATGATTTGAGCATCTGAATTTGCCCTTGCAAGTAATAGTGTGGATTTTGTTCTTGAAAGCTTGGAATGTTAGTGAGCACAATGGATGTGACAATAAAGTTAAGGAAAGAAAGCAATGCACTGGGCAATTCTGGATTTGTTATGATTATTGCAGGAGAAATGAACGAAATGCAGATGAAAATGAGAAGATACTGCGGACAAGGATATTTTTTCTGCAATATGAATTCAAACTAATATCAGTGGGAACAACCACTGATGTTTCAAAAATTAACCCCAGAAACACAAATATTTCAAGAAGGAGAGAAATAATCTCAGAGTAAAAGCCATTGAAAGATGCTGGGAGTATTAGAAGGACTAAAGGATGCCAGTGGGAGATGTTTGGGCTGAAGAGATGTAGGAGGATCTGTAAAGCAGAGGGGTCTCAGTTGGGTGAGGCTGAGCTGCGCTGCCTCCAGGGAGCCCTCAGAAGTATTTCAGAGCTTCTCACTTCATGCTTCCTTTCAATTTCTGTCTTCTGCATCACTTAGTAAAGGAATGTGGTGGTGTTTTTTCTTCTGAATATTTGTAGTTCTTAGTAAAATCAAGCAGGTTTTCTGTTATTTCAGAAACTTGAAAGCAGTTTTTAATCTAGTGCAGCTTCAGATCTACAGTGGGCAGCAAACTGTGATGCACACGGACTTATACTACGGGTGAGAGCATTCACAGACTGACACTGCATGTCAACTCCTCGGGCTGTGCTGGGGTCTCACTGAATCCAGCAGTCACTCTGAGTGTGGGAGCATGAAAAGAGAAGAGGGAGAACAGCACTGCATTTGGTTTCGTTGAAATTTGGAGCTGACAGAAGCTGAAACAAAGCAGAAATAACTCAAGCCATTCTGCATGAAATGCACGGACATCTGCTCTCCTTTACAGCAGACTTCAGGTCTGAGCACAAAGCCACTCGTGCTGTGACAGTTGGACGCTGGCAGGTCAGTGACAGCGCTGGGCATGGTGCTGTGCTGGGTGATAGCATGTTACCACAGGCAACAGCAGCCACAGGAGCTGAACGTTCTTCATGGCCTCTGTGCCTGATTTCTTTCCCTTCTGCTGAGTTCCCCTCAGCCCGGCTCTGTGACTGTCCCCCAGCTTTGGCCTTCTGAAGGATGGGGCTCAGCTCCAGGCTGACCTCAGTCCTGAAAGCCAAAGGCATCGCTGGCAGCTTCCTCAGCCGATGCTAAATGGGTGAAGAGCTTCAGTTTTGTGCCTGCATCGTTGAAGGTGACATTAATTGGATGCTGAGCTGAGTCAGCTAGCGTTGGGAAGGAATCATTTCTGGTCTCAGTGGTAGGGTCTTGTCTGGGTCGGAGATGAATCACTTTGACAAGGGTACAGAGTGCTGCAGTGGAAGGGGCACACATTTGGGTGCTGCACTGAGTCATGGCAGAGTTCTCAGAGCTGAGATCAGACTGCAGAATTATTAGTTCCTAAATAAGCACTGTCTGCACCGAACGCACCGATGTTATTGCCATCAGCAGAAATAGAAGGAATTAGTTGTCAGAGAGTGTTTCCAATTTAAATGTTAGCAGCTGTTATTATTTCAGTGTGGCAAATTTTATGGTTTTGCCTACAAGTCTGCTCTCGGTAAATTAAAAATTACGTAACAGCCTGATTGTATCTGCAGTGGATCTCAGTTATCAGGAAGGAACACAAGAGGAAAACTGCCCAGTGTCTGTGGGGGTGAAGGGATATGCGGTCCAGAACTGATGTTGCCAAACACTGCAGACTGAGCCCCAGGTGCCCCATGCAGCACGCAGAGCTTTGGGTGCTGAGCACCTCACACGGAACTGCTGGGCACTGCATGGCTCTGTACTGTGTGGCTTATGGCACTGCTGCCTTTGTGTGGAGCAGTTCTGCATCTCTAAGTAAAAATAGTGGAGGTTTTGAATTGTCAGCATGTCTGAATTTCAGAGCTGTGTTCTTTAATTCACAGTCACTCCATTATCATCAGTCCTTGGGGGTCTGTGAAACCCTTTATCACATCCATGTAGTTTCCTGCACAATATCTGTGCCTGCTAATCCTGCATTTCTCACTCACAGACGCAGTACTGACTGCTCACTGCAAATGAAGAGGAACGCAGCAAGCATCCTCAGGGCATTAAAGCAAATATAAAAGGTAAGAATCCCAGATCAGAGCTTTCAAGGACTGTTCAAACTTTTATTCGTAACATAGCTACTGAGTAAAGGGGGAAAAAAAAAAAGGGGCGGTGCTCGGGGGGCGCCAGGAGATTGGTATGCAGCTCAAATTGCTTCTGCTCCTTCACCGAACTGTGTATTTAAAATAAAAGTACAAACTGCTGGCTTCTCTGGAGAACTTCCAGTGTGCTCTCTGATGCAATTGGTACATTGATGGGAATATTTAGACTTAGAAAATGTAACCTCTTGTCCACACTCAAGCAATGAAATATTGCATCTTCCCCAGCTGCTTTCAGCTCCAAATGGCAAAGCTCAGTCATTTTCTCTTTCAAACCAGAAGTCCAAAATCGGCTTTTGCACCACGCGGGCTCACACCCAGCACTGCTGTGCCCTGAAGATGTTGCACAGTGCCTTGAGGATGCTGCCCACCCCCTGTGGTTCTCTGCTGCTCTCCATTGCATTCCTAAGGTAGGGGGAAATGGCTCAGATTGTGAATGTGTGAGCAGCTTTACCAGGGGCAGCTCTCATGACCTTTCAAGGGCTGCGGGAGGCCCCTACCCAGCACCAGTAACTGTGCTTGCTGAGAAGCAGGTGGGTGCACTGCTGGGAAGCAGAGAAATGCACCTCTTGAGCATGGTAGGAACTTTGGGACTGGCAAACTGTCTAATGCAGTGACCTTGTATATTCAGCATCACTCTCATATCATCATATAAAGTATTTATGTACCTCATAAATATGGAATAACTTGTAGGAACCTGTAGGGACAATATTATTCAGCTTTTCAAGCTCATTATGCGGGTAATGGAAGCATTTTCACTCCGCTGATCTTGTTACACAATGGCACTTTTGCCACTGAATTCTGACTTTGTCAGCCAAGCACAATCCCGACAGCTGATGTGAAAATCATAAATGGATTATGTATATTAAAATATTTTTGATACTGAGAAAAGAATGAAGATATCGCTATCTGGGACTTTAGTTGCCCTGAACAATTCAGCTGCAGACCCACATCTGTGTAAATGATGTGACTGCTCCCACTGGCATCACCCAAGCGTAGGAGAACCCTCCCAGCTCAAGCACAAGAACTCGTTTCACTTTGGGCCTCCATCACAACCGACGTCCCTGGCTGTGGTCCTGGCAGTGCTCTGCCAATGGAACGTACCTGCAGTACCGGTGAGGGCAGTGTGATGGATCTGCCAGGTGATGCCCTGGCTGCTGCTGGGCTTTCTTTGAACAAGTCTCAAAAATAGCTTTTTAAATTGTCTCTTGAACTGCCTACTCCTCTTGATTAAACAAGCAGGGCTAATTACAAGATGAAGCCCAGAATTATCCACTGGAAGATAGATATTTGTTAATGAAATCGATTGATCACGAAACTAATGATGTCCAGCACTTGGGGCCATCCTTGATGATGGACAGTGCTGGTTTGTGAGTGTACAAAGTGAATGTAGCTGGCTCTGGCCTCTCCTATTCCAGGCAGTTATTTGTGATTAGTTTTATTTCACCCCAAAGCACAACAGGGTAAAGAAGAGATCTCTTTTACACATCTGTTTACTCTAGAATTGCATCTGTTTTACTCCTCTCTGAATTCAAGTATCTACATCCTTCTACTGGAAAAAAAAAAAAGGAAAATGAAGCCATCTTAATTTTTTTTTTCTTTAAATCTTCACAGGAGCAGGCAGGAACAAGCACTTAAAAATGCACACTGCTAAGACTGTGATAACAGGACCTGGGAAGAAAGACTACATAACTATCAGCTTTTGGCATGTAGTTCTACGCTGTCTGGTAATGAAGATGAATTGTGTCTTTTGAAACCCTTTCTTTAAAATTAGCTTAAATGAATGTGCAGGAGTGAGCATTCTTGACCCTGCGCACTTCTACAGAACTTACAGTGAAGCTGATTGCTGAATTATCTGGCTTTTATTTCTGAGATGGGGAAAAGTCCTGCAGGCACACAGAAGGTATCCTGGAACTAAGGCAGGCAGTGATGTGCCTGTGACAGCTGACCTCATCCTGGCCGGGCGGATTTGTGCCCCTACAGAGCAGAAGAGAAGAGGAAAAAGCTGCAGCAGCCCCCTGATGCTCATGCCCTGAACCAGCTGCACGCTGGGCTCAGTCCCAGTGATGGGACATATGGCAAAAACACTTATGGCAAAAGACATTCTGAATGGCCAAAGGTGTTATGAATTGCCAAGGCAGTGCTGAGATGCTGAGTCTGCCAGAAAGGTGAAGCTGCCTTTATCTCCAACACAGGATGAAACCTGACTGTTGGTGCTGCAGCAGCCCCCCTGCTGACCACAGGGCTCTGAGTCAGGGGCAGCGCTGCTCTGCGGGTGGATTTGTCTGGAGTTGGAGAGGAAGCGAAGAAGATGAAGGATTCCTGCCCTTCTGCTCCTGCTCTCCCACCCTGCCTCGATGTCCAGCTGGCCAAGCTGTGATAGAGTCACTGTGGACATCCAACAGCATCCTGGAACTTCTGCTCTCATTTCAATATTGCATTTCAGTTTTTATGATGTGCTCTGCATCACTGGGGGGTTGCAAAGGGGACAGTGCCAGGCACAAAGTGGGGAGCTCACCAGAGGCAGAACTCTTCAGATACTCTCTGTTTGTGAAAAGCAGAAAAAAGATGTTGAAATTTAGTAAAAAGGCTGTACTCCACCAAGCTTTTGTGCTGGGTATACAGAAAGGAGGGAGAGAAGACGGGAAAGAGGGAAAATAAGGGCACATCCATCTCTCTGTATTTTGCTGCTCTGCTAGAATCTGTAGTTGTCAGATACTCCAATCACCTGTCTGTGGGGCTGCAATCCATCTCAGGGTGAGCCAGGAGGAGATACACCATTGGCTATTTCACATGCAGTGTGTCATCTGGCAGGCTGTACATATAGTGAGGAAAGCGGGGACCACTCAGTCTCTGAGCAAAGCTGCTTCCAGTGAATAGCTCAGAGATACTCTGAGGATGGAAAGAAACGGGAAAGGCTTCCCCTGCTTTTTTTTTTTTTGTTGTTGTTGTTGTTCTGATAAGCTCTGAAAACTGTTGGGAAATGGAGTGCTGATTGATGAAGGACTGTGTGGAATAGCAATAAAGCACTTTTCCAAGGAGAAGTTGTGAGAGAGAAGAACAGTACCTGAAAGTAAATATTTCGTAGGATTTCTTCCTACATAGAGGAAGTGTTTGGGGATATTTCAGCATCTGAATCATCTCCTGTATACAGGACGTATGGGACTGAAAAAGAAGAGCAGTACCTGGAGAGTCCTGGAACGCAGCTGATGCACAATCAGCACAGGAAGGAGGACCCATTTATCAACTCCTTTATGCGGTTTGCATCTGCAGAGCATATTTTTATAATGCAAGCATGCATGTTCCTCTCTGCAACCACTGACTGTAGCACCTGAGCTCCCAGGAAGGAGGAGGGCAGGGAAACTTGCTGCTGGCCCCGCGGCAGCACTTCCTGAGCCATGAGCAGGCACACGTGGTTCCCTCTGCAGTACATCTCCAAGCCCTTCTGGAGAGCAGAGAATCACACCGGCACCAGCTTCCTCTCCACACGGTACAGCTTCCCAAATCAGTCCTTCTTCCACAGTGATTTGGACCTGGAGGACTTGGGAGACTTTGACAGTGGGACGAAATACGAGGGCGAATCCCAGAGCAGGACGGTGCAGGCGCTGCTGATCATAGCTTACTCAGTGATCATCTGCATCTCACTCTTTGGAAACACCCTGGTGTGCCATGTGGTGATCAAGAACAAGAGGATGCACTCTGCCACCAGCCTCTTCATCATCAACCTGGCCGTGGCCGATGTGATGATCACTGTCCTCAACACCCCCTTCACGCTGGTAGGACTTGGGCAAGGCTTGGTGGGGTGGTGGGATGTGGAGCAGGGAGCTGTGTGCATGCACACATCAACAACCTGCTGGCATACAGAATTTTCTAGCAGCTCTCTCCCCCTGCTCTTATCTCCTGGGTGGGCTGTGTGCTGTGCACAGCTTCCCCTGTGCAGATATGGGCTTGGTGCAGAGATGGGGCCACTTGCCTCCGTGTCCCAGAGCCCACCAGGAGGCCTCCCCTCCCGGTACTGTTCCCTCTCCAGGATGCGGACAATACTGGGGTGTCCTGCTTGTGCTTTAGTGGGGAAGGGAGCTGGGATATGTTTAGCACTTGAAGGCACAATTAGCTGTCAATTTGCTATAGAAACACAAGCAGTCGCTGCTTGTGAAGACTGTGAGGTCTGTGCTGTGCCATGCAGCTCTGTGTGCCTCTAACCAGAGCTGGGAGTCCTTTGTTTGCTCCCAGGCACTAAATAATGGTGGCCATAAAGAGAAAAACAGAGTGAGGTGGGATGAATAGGCTGCTGCATTGCCTACAAGTGATGCAGTGCAGGACTGTCAGTGTAGCTGAGTTTGGCAGAGTCCTCTGGATCCTGAGCATCCCGAGTGCTCCTATTGTGCACCCTGGCCATAGCTGCCCACAGCTCCCTTCCACCTTCCAGAAGCACTCCCTGCATTGCTGACTTGAATTCTCCTTTTCTCAAGCCAATCCTATGTCTTTGGTGGGGTTTCTCTGCTTTGCTCTTTTGGGATTGTTCTGGGAGAGAACAATGTGAGCGTTGGCACAGCAGTTACATATTGGGCATAGGTAATTAAGAAACTGCAATCCCTCTTAGAAAAGAGCTTTGCATCAACTTTAGAGAAAAAGAAAATTGCTACGGTTTCGTTGTTACTGAGTTGTCTCTGGGAGTATAATTAGAATTAAAATGGTAGGTTAATTGAAAGCATTAGCTAGTCTTGACTAATCTTCTGTGTGAACATATGTGCTGCAGTAAATGTGCCTTATTTCAAATTAGCTTAATCTCCCTCCAGAATGAGTTATACCAAATGCTGTGCAGTGAGGAACACTTACTTAGCACTTGAACAACGTGTGTGCAGGGAGCAAAACAACAGCAGATACTTGGAATAATTGCCTCTGTAGGAAAGGCACAAGAAGCAGCGCCTTCCGGGAATCCGTACGGAATGGCACGAGCCTTTCTGCTGTGCTCTGGCTTCAGACTCCACATGCTCCCCCCAGCAGCAGTGGGATTTCATGCCTGGTGGGGATAACATGGGCACCAGAGGTCAGATCGATGAGGAGGGCTCATTTCCTGGTAAAGTGTTAGTTGCTTTCTCAACTGGAGGGAAATTTTTTCTTCTGTTTGTCTAAGCTAGCTGACACCTATGAAATTGCTGTTGATGTATCTCTAACAGTGTGATAAGAGGGAGCCAGCCTCAGAGATCAGTGTGGAGTTGAGGCTGCCATCCCCATTCACTGCTGAGTGGCCACGAGCTTCCGGAGATGCTCCCAATGCAGAGCACCAGCTCCTTTCCAACCCATCCATGAGTTCTTCCATGAATTCATCTCTGAGTTTTGAACCTGTGGCAACTTTATCATGGCACTTCTTCCTTACAGTGCTCCTGGGAAGCCTATTTGCAGCCCTTCAGACAGTGCACAGTTCCAATCCATTGTTTCTCCTCTCCAGGTGCGGTTTGTAAGCAGCACGTGGGTCTTTGGAAAGCTGATGTGTCACATCAGCCGGTTTGTGCAGTACTGTTCTGTCCATGTGTCTGTACTGACCCTCGCTGCCATCGCTCTGGATCGTCACCAGGTACGTGATGCACCTAGCAGCTGTGTTTGTTGGGAGGTAGGGAGCTACATGCATTAGGTTTCAAGTTCCAGTTCCTGAAACCCTGCGGCGTCTTGAGAATGAAGGAACTGGGCTGAGGGATTCTGGTTTTCATGCTGCTGGACAAAAACCTGCTTCCTTGTGGTAATGGTGGTCCAATTAGAGAGGTTGTGGAGTTCCCATCCTTGGAGATATCCCAAACCCAACTGGAGGCAGCCCAGGGCAGCCTGCAAGGTATGCTTTCTTGCAGTGCTGGAGCCTGCAGTAATGGCTGTTACTGATAAGCACAACAAATGACACAGAGAAATTAAGTTTAAAACAGTAACTGATGGCACTCCGATTGCCTGGGTTGTGCTCCATCTGGTGTTGGAGCACAGATCGCCCATTCCCATCCAAGGAGTTTGGTAGTCTGCTCATTCTACAGATACTGCAGCTCCTGAAAGAAAATTCTGATAATGTTGTATTTTAATTAGTAGATTTTTGTCATTTTTATCAGTTGAGGGCACTTTACATCCACTGAACTGGTTGTTCTCTGCAGGTTATCATGCACCCTCTCAAGCCGCGCATGTCCATGGTGAAAGGAGGGATTTGCATCATTATCATCTGGGTTATGGCCAGCTGCTTCTCACTGCCTCATGCCATCTATCAGACCTTGACAAGGTTTTACATCGGGTAAGACATTTGCACGGTGCTCCTTTGTAGGACATACTCAATTTAGTCAAGGTCACACAGATTCTAATGCATGTTTCTCCGTCTGAGTTACTGAAATGTGAAGCATGGGGAAGCAGAGAAGTCTCCTTAGCTTTGAGTCAACGGTGACTTTCTCTCAAATGGATAATGAAAATCAATGAAATTGCTTTCAGGCTTGTTGTTGGTTGATGTTGACTCAGAGATTCATCGCTGTCATTTGAGTCAGGCACAGAAGAGAGATGCTCTTCAGCATTAGAGCATTTATATTTTCTGAGGATACGTTTAAAATATTTCCACTGAGGCCAAAGCTCAGGCTTAACGTAGAATTCTCCAAAGAAGCCCTCATCCACGTTACTGAAT